GGAGGGAGCGGTGTCTTTCGGTTCACCCTTCAAAGTCACTGAGTGTGCCGAGGTCCCAATCGGATTACCATTTCGGAATGAAACCCGGATACTTGATGAACCAAAAAGTGGTAGTCGATGCCAATATCCTTACGAGTAGGTTTAGACCTCCATAGAAGTGCCCCAAATGCATTCAAGGGGTAACTTGAAGCGCTGGCCCACAAAGGGCCTGGATTTCCCACTCTCAGACATAGCAGTAGCTCCTGAACGATTAGTACCTGGGCCTGGCAAAGAATTCGGCTTCTGCAAAGACCGTATCATCCTTTAGGATTGCAACCTGCACTTTCCGGAACCTTTCCTTATCTAAATACAGGCCTCCGATATCAATTCCACAACTGGTAGCTCGAAAGCAGTTATCAGAGTTAAGTTCAAGTAGTTTTCAATCAACAGGTAAGTTTCATTCTTGATCTTCAGCTCATCGATAACAGTCCGGTGCTATGTCGTACAGTCGGAGTGGACTTTCGATATTGGTATGGTGTTGGTTTGATGCTGTACTGTTCAGGCAGTTCTATCCCCATTTATACTTCAGGATTGCGATACTGCTGAAGAGATTGAAGAGGCGCCATGTAGTTTCATCCGTTTTGAAATGGCAATCAACGATGTTTCCATAGATGGTGTCAAAGTTGGCCCGAAAAGAAGCGAATTCATGTTCGAAGAGTTCTTGTTCACTATCAAACTAGTGGAAGAGGTACGTCTTGAGGAAGAGTTCAAGTTTCTGGAGCCATTCCTCTTATGAGCGAAGTGATAACTGGTTCCTCTGAGATGATAACTGGCTCCCCTGTCTGTGGGTGTCCGTCCACAAAACTCCATAATTATGGAAGAGGTAGTGATATGGAAAACCCACCGCAAGCTGAAGTAGTATCAGTTAAGTGTAAGCTCGAAAGTAAGTGATGTTACTGATAGCGGTTATACAGCACATATCATAACACGGGTATACTTCATCTCGATAGTTTGAACCGATCGATAGCGATTAGAATCGATTTGTGAGCAATTGAATGAGTAATGATTACTAATTCCTTTCTATAGCAGAGCATCTACATGGGTCGAAAAGGGATAATGTAGCGAGGGGGAACTCAAAACAGGGGTATCACTACAAGCTGTCAGGATACACTTCAGCATTGTGATATCGGTCGATACGATGACGACCTTCTTCCGATTTTGAGGCGCTGTGGACTGTGAATTAGGTTGATCAGTGGAGTAAGATATCGAACAGTTTTACTCGGTCATCTGCCATCTCAAGCCATGGTTGCTATGACCATCCTTTGAGACAACTAACCAGCACAACCGACAAATGTGACCGAAACAGGGCAACTAATTACTCAGGAATAGGAGTCGTGTGGTCGTGTGTGGCTACATTGCAAAATGATGGTGAAGATTAATGAGCTCTGTCAAGAGGGGCAAGGATAGGAGGAACCGTCAAGTTAAATACGGGCTTACGTCAGCGACGAGATTGGGTGAGGGTACTCCTCCGCTGACTTTCTATGGGCCAAGCGTCTACACACCGCTCCAAAACGTAGCCATAAGTAAATGATGTGATAAGTAGTTGATATCTACGACCTTGTTCTTCAGCCCATTTAGTTGTTTACTTTCTTTTCTTACTGTTGACCGTTTCATACCATAGAGTGGGGTACGTACCGTATACTTCTCCTGTGTGACATCGCCCGACTATGAATGGCGTCTGAATACACAAATGCGAATCAAAACGGGTACTGCAGGCTCAACTGCTCTGAGAGTAGTGGACAAGGTGAGTGCAGTTTGATTCTGAGCTTTTTTCTATAGCCGCTAGGAGTTTTATCCTTTCCAACTGGAAAATGGAGACGCTGAGCATGTGGAAGGGTCTCTGTGACGAGTCCTCCATAAGAGGCTTCTTTGTTGGATAGGAAATCTCACCTATATGGAGTAGGCAGGACTTTCTAAAATACATTCCTATGACCACCCTCTCCATTGTCACCGTGAGATTGCTATCTGTCTGGCCTTACAAGTTATCAGCCTCAGCTCTTAATCAACAGACTATGTGGACTTACAGGATGTGTTCGAGTTCTATCCAAGGTGTGATCCAGTCTCTGTGGAGTTGATGAGCGACGCAATTTCGATCGTCAAATTTGAACTCCGTATTCTGAATAAGGTAACCCTCAGAAGCGTCTCGACGTAAACAGTCTAAATGAGTCTTTCGGAGAGAAACCGGAGTAGCAACGTTCATTTTGCAGGCACTAGTTGAGATCGTGACTTCGGCACGAGAGTAACTGTAGAGTTAACAGTCTCCAGTAACTAGTAGTATTAATAAGTGGTTGAGGGTAATAATATGAAGTGTCAAATCGCTATTCGAGCAATAGACACATTAACTGAGCAATGGAAGCCAGAAAACACAAAATCTCTAAGGTTGGATCACCTTTCCTGTTGGGTTATCTGAAATGGGAGTTGGCGTCTTGCCAAAAAACATTCATATATCTTTATCTTTTTGTGATGGTAAGAAAACGTTATTTCAGCTGATCGAACGTCTACCGACTTTCCGAGAAGGGGACCTGATAGTGCTGTTCAGCGATGGCTCGACAATAAAAGTCCACCGAGAGCTTGTCGCCTTGTATTCAACCTACATTAGTACGTCATTCCTCAAAGTCAATCCGACCATCTTTTCTTTTACCTATCCACAAGTCTGAGCTTGCACTACTTAGAGTATTTTTTCTATCCTCGTATTGATCTAGAAGGACCACAGGCAAGAAAGTAGAAAAAATGGCGTTTGCGCTAGAGTACCCATTGTGGAATAGAGCGTTGTGATGAAATGGGAAGCCCGGGTTACTCGCAACTGACCATAATGTGATTAACCCTGAACTGAACCAAGGGCGCTTGTTCTCTGTCGGGTTGTTCCATAGTCTAGACAGATCGAAGAAATCATCAGTAAGAAAATTAGAGACGCCTGCTCAGCTCCAGCAACAACTTGATTTTTTCTCAACAAGCCCATCATTTTCCAAGTGTGATGGAAATTGGGTAGAGATAAGAACAGCAATGAGCGATGCACATGAACGGTTAGTTGGATTCTTACTGACACAACCCTTTGAACCTCGTGGAAGCGGTTCCTGAGTTGCACAAAAAGGCGTATTTCCGAAATTCTGTCGCACTAATCCTCTCAATGAGCCATGAAAACCAAATGCAGATTTCAAGAGGCTTTAATTTTTAGAGTACCGCGAAAGCATGACGTATCCATCAAAGGCTCTCAGTTATAGATAATCGCTGTTGTGATCATTATATCTTGCTAGTTACGATAAATGAAAGATTCGTCGAATTTCAGAAAAGTGTACGGAGGGCTCCGAAGTGACATCGGTCGAGAATTTCTCAAAGAAAGCCTTCATTGAAATGCTCTATCATGTGAGTGAGGCTCTTTTACATTCACTCCATCTCAGCTTTACAGCCAGACAAGATTATTTAATTCTATCGAATCATTGTAGATATATCCAACACTTCGACCTCTCTACCGTAATCTTCGCGACTTTGCCAAAGCTGCTGTCTCCTATGAAGCTACTCCTCTGATATACCAACTCTCGAAGCATCTGGTTAATTTCAATACCAGATCTGTGAGTTCTTATATGTTTAGGGAATTCTCAGTTGAAAACTGGTCATGCTATTGGGAATTTGCCGGTACCTAGGTTTTAGTTGGAAAAAATTAGGATCACAACTGTTTTTGTAGGAGAAAAGCAATTAAGAAGTTCATTGAAGTGACCCAAATGACTTCGAAATACCGTATTACTGTGTGGCAGAGCCTGAGGGTGAAGGCCCTCAGTAGGGCTAACGAAAACAGAATAGTTACATTCTGCTAAAATCCGGGAGGCTGTATACCGTCAGGGTAGAACTCCTCAGTGCAGAACTCATGTGGTCCGGTAAAAGCATTGAGATGATCATCGGTGAATTACGCATATTGGTGATCATAAGAGTCGATGGAGGTATCTGCCACTTCCCTTCCCGCCTAGCCCTTCATAGGCTCAGCAGCATTCATAGCATTCGTACATCGATTCTTCTTCTCCTCTATCGTCATCTTCTTCTTCTTCTTCTCCCTCCCTCCCTCCCTCATTTACCATCCTTATCGGATTTGTACATCGATCATGTTGTTGAGTCATCGTTGAGTGCCCCATAAATACGTTGCTATAATCCTCCCTCTCCATTTTTTCTGTCGTGTCGCTAATCAGTCTCGAATCTTCTCTACCGTAGAAGGGAAGTATCACTGCAGCTTCTCTTCAAACCTATGTCACTACGCTGTAACTTCTTTGAAGCTCTCCTTTTCGCTAGTAAACTCTTCGTAGTCTCGGGTTCCATTCGGTTGAGATTTGGTCCTGAACGTTTCCACTTCAGATGTCTCTTGAGCAGAAACTGAGGGCTGCTCTCGATCTGGAACTCGGACCAGCCGTTGAGGAACTCGTGTACAGGCAAGTTCTTTTTGATTTTTCTGAGAAGTGAATCACTGAACATTCCTCATATGAAAACCCGTGTAGACCCTGTTTTCACGACCAAGTTGACCTAGTTAGTGGGACGCGAACAGACTATCTTCTGAGCAGGTTTTTTGAGAGCCCTCTGTGGAGAAATATTGTTAGAAGCAAAACATAAGTAGGACTCAATGGATATAACATGGGAAGTGCTCAAATTCTTGCCAAAAATGCCGAAAGGGCTCATTTCCTTCTTTACTAACGAGTAAGGAATTACTCCGACTTTTACATAGAGCTGCTCAAGACGGCGTGTGGAATCACCTTATCAAACTTGGCTTCGAGCCCGAAAACTTCTTTGGAGCTGAAGTTTATCGAAAACTTGTATGCCCAGCCATTTTTGCAGTAAGTTACAGCATTCTCTTAGATGAGAAGCCACAAGAGCACCGAAACTCATTGCCATATCTTCAGGGTCGTCAGAATGAGTACGGTAAACAATTCATCGAAAAACCGTTCACCTTCCCAGATTTCTTCTCAGAACAGGTGGGAAGGTTGTGGGAAGTTGTAATTCTTTGAAGCATCTGAGGAACGCTTCAATAGAGGCACACTTTTAGGCAGCTCAGAATCCTTCAAATAAAGGGTTCTTGTTTCGAAGAACACCATTCTACGTTAATCGTGGAATACTCGAAGCACATGGGACGAGCAGATTCGCAGTGAACTCAGACGGTAAGCAATACGGTAGTTGAGCATCCAGGTTTCTCATAAGATGGACTTGTAAAATAAACATTCATTCCTAATATTACTTATCACCTACTTGCCGAGTTAAAGCAGTCTAGCTCCTCGAATTCCGCCAAACTGTCCAATCCCTTCGCCTAAGCTGTTCCAAGCTCGGTTACAGTTGCAAAGCGAATGTGTTGCTGTGGCCATCGATTAAAATCATTGAGCATCGTGGGGCTAGACATTCAAACACCATAGTGTTTCTCAAGTCATCTTCGAAGAGGTTTTTATTTTGTACAAAAATGGAAAACGACAGTCATAAACTGTTAGGTTTCTTATGTGATTTCTTATCGATTAGGGCTTCTGCTAGCACTTTTCTCGCATGAAATGGGAAAGGAATGTGAAAGAGGTGATATCCTCCCTGGAGAGGTAGGTTTATTCAAGTATCCGTTGAACAGTCTCAAAATTATACAAAACAGTAAAACATAAAGCTAGGAATAGGAGAAATGGGACTCTTGGTTACGGTTGGCTGGCCTCGACAATAAATACACAAATAGGGGAATAGTAATGAGACGAAGTAGAACTCAATAGGGGCCACGTCCCCTCCAATGGACTCGTAGAGCCAGCTATTGACTATTTCCTCTGGCCTTCAGTAAGTCGACGATAAGTCTCTGCTCCCTTCAAAACTCGTAAAGCATCTGAAGCCTAATTGAGGGTTAGGGATACCATCATGACCGCCAATTTTTGTCCCCTGACAAATTGCTCTGTGAGATTTCCTTGTTGTTCTGTCTTTTTGTATCGTTCATCTTCATTCAGGTGGTGGTATCGATTCTGAACTCAATGTACCCTCTTGGACCGGCAGTGCCAGTGAAATTCCTTAAAGCTGCGATAGTGTTCTGCCATGACCATGACTGGATTCACATGAAAAATCAGCTGGAACAGGTATAGTCAGTTTGAACGGAAGGTAAATCTCCATTGAGATCTTCTGGCTGGTCTTCCACTTGAACAGCCTTTTTCGAGTTTCTCAGAGTCCTGCTTGCATTTCAGAATCTTCTTCAACAACCTCCCAAGACTTGGGAAGAATATCGTGATCAGATCATTTTCGCAGAACGCTTCAAACTTGAAAACATGTTGGCTACGTCGGTTCAGAGGGCCGAAGGCAGGTAAGACCAAAAACTCAAGGGTTCTTCGATATTTTTTGTAACATACTTCTTTTTACTGGCATTTAGACGTCCAAGCAAAACCGGCTATGTCCAAAAATCTTGTGAATTTTCCCCACACTGATTCAGCGTCGCGGATTCTAGTCATATATTGATGAACAGCTAGTTAGACTCAGCTCAAACCTCGTCGATTTCTGTTCAGTTTTGTGATGGCGACATATCAGTGCTTCAGTACTCTCAGACAAAGCTAATACTAAACAGGCCAGCTTGGAAAAATAGGAGAGTTGGTTAGTATGGGCGAGTATAGATCCAAGAGTCGACCACTGGGCAATGCGAATAGAGAGTGTACCTCACTTCTCTTAACGCCTTCACCCTTCAACTTTCAGAATTAATTTTTTCATAACGTCTATATATTTCCTTTGTGCAATGAAAAAATTCGGCTGATCCTCACCTTCTATTAAGTTGATGTATTGTTTTTCAAAAATAATTATTTTCAGCTGCAACAATTTCGCAGAAGAACTACGAAAAAGGGACGATTTCAAGAAGCTCCATACATCGACCAGAAATCTCTTAGTTGATCGCCTTTGTAGTGGTTGGGGACTAGAACCGAAGCTCGTAAATAGACTCGCCACAAGGTACCTCTGGTTTCGAAGTTGAACTAAATCCAGAAATATTGGAATGACTTTTACAGAGAGCCGAGTTCATTCCGTGAACGTAAAATCGGGCTGAATACTGGTGGACCACGTGCGTTTGAGGAAGAGCGCCAAGCTGCTACCTTGGCTGAGGTGAATTCAGAATACTACTTTGGACCCGTTGGAGAGCTTTGCGTTGTGGATTCCTAGAGATGTGAAGGATTTCAAGAAATATTTTATACATTCGCAATAGCTTTTTGTCCGTTTGCTTGTTCTCGTTCAATCAATTTTGTCGATTTTTTGCGTAGTGGAAGGCTGAGGCCGTACTCCTACTTGGAATTCCTTCGATGGAAGTTTGTGGTACTGTGGGAGTAGCCAGCTTTGACTCTTTTTGTTATAATGTTTAGTGGAAATAAATGTTTGTTATAACTCGGTGTTGATTTTTTGTTTTGTGTACAGGTATAAGAAATCCTTACCTATCTTAAAATCTATTTTGAGGTGCGTTCCAGGAAAGTTTGTGAGAACACGAACAAAATTGCAGAATGTGGTGCAGGTAACTCGTCAGAGGGCGGGATTTTGGTGATGAGGCGGAGCTTAGATCATCAACTTCACAAGGATCGGCCTCTTTTGGGGAATAGTTCTCGAATAACAGTAGTACCTATCTGATCTGACCGGACTATGTGAATTTTACAATGCCTTACTTTGACCAGTATGGGTCAACAGTCACTGTAAAATGTGAGTTCTTTTTAATTTACACCTTTTTGCCGTTCGTTAATGCGTACAGAGTCCTTTCTTTCTCACCTTTTGCTTCGGCTATATGGTGCTATGTTGTCCTTGTGCGAGGTGCTACAATTTCAAGTGCTTTGGTTAGAGAGGTGGTCTCTACGATTTTATTGACACAAAGTCGTCTACGTTTAGCACATCGTCGAACGGCTATCGTCCACATTCGGAACTTTCCCCTCATTTGCTTCTTCTACTGTCCACTTGACCCTACTATTATTTGTGACTCTAATCCCAACTAGAGACTCTTCACAGTAAACCTTCAGTTGTGCTGTCTAATTCGTCCTTTCTGTTCTAAGTAAAATGATCCAATTAGTATTTGTGGAAGTGGAACGCAAAAATGGGAAGTTGGTGCTGAGAAAAAGTTCTTAAGATGTTGGTGGAATTTTGTTGGATCGCGCCATGCATTGACCTTCCACTTGCGAATGCAATGGGATGCTATTGTACATGGCCTACACATTGAGATGAGTGGGTGGGGCAAGCGGATTCTGAAGGCAGTACTCCTATCCTCTGAAAGTGATTGTTACTCTACGATGCTCAAAGAAACGTAGACGATTTGTTATTTTTCCTTTTTCTTTTCATTTTTTTGTGACTTCAGTGGCAGTAATACTTATTAGTACTATATATGACTATGGAGCTGTCGTTCGGCTTATTATCAACATAAGGACGGATCGTTCGTTGTAATCCTACATAAGTAAATGAATGACCTCCTAGTTTTCCCTCCAGACTTACAATCACGTCTGAGGGTGGTTGATTTCCACCCTCACTAATTCTTTGCCTAATTGTTGTCATACAAAGAGAATGAAGGGTTCATCGATGTAGGCAAGATCCAATCCGAGTTTTATTGATATAGGTAAGACCCAATTCGAGAATCACGCTCAGCTCATTTTCATCTTAAAAGCCTCTATCTCAGCTGTATTTCTGATGCAGGAGGTTGTTTATCTCAGATGAAGCTCTATGATGATCTCACGATAATTTAGCACGTACTAGCTACCATTAGTACCTACCATTAGTACCGACTGATCGCTTACTTTATGAATCCAGATGATAAAATGGATAATAGTGGTGAGCGCACTGTGCTCCTCAACGACATCATTCATCATCGGAGGGTGCATCGGACCGAAGTCTGTTCTCGAAAGATATTTAAATGCGAAACAGAAAGTTGAATTACGTAAACTCATCCATACGCAGTTCGATGGCAAGAACGCTGAGCAGGTGGCTTTAATGACTTTGATGGATATCGATTTTCCGCCCTAATACAGCAGTTACAGGTTCTGGCCATTGTGAACACCTACGTACACAGCGTTATCACACCAAAACAATGGCTAAGGTTGTTCTCAGAGACTTCTTTTAGCTTCACAACAATACTTGTTTCTTTTCAGTATCCTCCCCGAGCTCCGGGTATATCAAACAAGACGAAGGGAATGTTCCATCTATTCGCAATTACTTCCATCAGCAGTATATAAACAATTACTGGTAAGTTTTAAAGCATAAATAAAAACACTAATTCAGCGAAGGCTGAGCCCCTTTCGTGAAGGTAAATTTCAAAATGAGGTGGAATGGTGAATTGCGAATGATGACTGTGGCTACAGCAATCACGGTCGGGTGTGGGATTTCTTTTGAACAGTGCAAGCCGTCCTTCAAAGACATAGTTCACGGTAAAAATGGTTCCTGAGATTTCCCCATAGGATGAATTCGAAGCTCCCTCGTAAACCGCATCTGGCGCTATCAGGTAGGAAAACAGTCACCTAGGCTTATGCCTGGGTAAGATCATAAGCTGGGGCCCAGGCTCGTAGCCGAAGTCGCGCTCGGACACCTGTTCATGAGATTGATGCTCCAAGTTCTAGAAGACTTTTCCAATCTCTTTTCCAAATGGGAGCTTTTTCTACCTTGGGAGAAGGATCGGTAATAACTACCGAGAGCAGAGCAGCTACACTCAGTGACAGGCTGTCAGCTGCTAGCTACTTTCAATACAGGATATACCAATAGAATTAAGCGCTTCTGTTTCTGTCGCTTTTCACAGTGACTCCATCTCTTTTATTCTACCTGAATTTGGAATAACCAACGTTAAAACATCACTACTGATTAGGTCAGTCTGATGTACCGACCGCTTCGCAGCCGCACGCGTAATAGTCATGTGTTACCACAATGCTTTCTGCGTCTGATTCCGGTTTGGACGTGGGCCGTTCTACCTAGGCGGGAACTATCCCAAGTGATCACTTACTCTTCCAGAACTCCGTATGGATAGCCATGGAACACGGTGTGAATGACAGCGATTTGAAGCGCCTCGTTGAAGAATATGTTGATCGTGCGATAAAATCCGGAATGATTACTATTGATAAAACGTACACGAAAGCTCGTCCGTTCGTCACAACCACGCCTAAAACTCGGATTTTTTCCAATCGATTGATCAACGAGTTCGAGCAACAGCCGAAAGCAACAAAACGACGAGAATATCCATCATATAGACGATTACCGTCTGGAAATATCGATGTATGGGTCCCATAACATGCTTCCGAATTACTTTGTTCGATTGTACCTCCTACAGTAAGTTATTCATAGAAATTGTACAGGTTTGATTATTGTACTATTCACTTTTTATTTGAACTATATGATCAGCCAATCGAAATTATGTTTTAATTTTACATGTATTCGTTTAAATGGTGAAAGATCAATTGTCATAATCACTTTTGATAAATCAAGGGCGATCAATAAGAAAAATAAGGCTGTGATTCTGCCTACCCTATTGTAACGACGTCCTAGGCAATTTGCCGTCCCAAGCAGGCAGTTTATGTGTTCAAAGTCCAAAATGGAACCGGCAGTTCAGCTGGCCGACCACTTCTTGCGTAGGCCTTGATAAATAAGTTCAATGCAATTGATCTATCCAAGGCCGAGTAAACAGGACCGGAAGGTCCCTATCAGTAGCGATCGTAGGAGGGACGTTATACTCAGGATTGAGTATGACTCATTCATCATCTCTGGCTATTCGAGACTGTTGCGGTAGATTCCGGGAAGATGAGCAGTGAAGATACCGGATCGAAGGTGAGGTCGTTACACTTCCTTTAGGGCACATTCCGCGGTACACCTGCGTACGTAGACAAACCAGGAGGGTCGTTCAATTGGCAAATAGTCACTACCAAAAGTTATCTAGAACATCGTATTCAGATCCAGAAGCCTGACCTGCGTCTTTGAGCGAGAGCAGCATTTGTGTAATAGGGCGCAGACAACGAGACAAATATCTAGTCCTCCAGCCAGTAGTTGCGGAATGTGCCTTTGGGTCTGGTTTCCTAATTTGATTTCACTTTTTTCAGGCTTCGAGAGAAGAGAGAGTTCCTTCGCAGGTCGGTCCGTGGAAGCAAAAACTGGTCATACATAAACTGCTTACAATGCGTTTGCTTAACTATAAAAATCAGGAAATTCTTTAAAATATACATGACAGGAGGAATTTTCTCGTTCACAGGACACCAAAACGAAGAGTACAAGCAACATAACCGTTGAAGATACGGAATTTGAACCACTGTTATCGAAAGGTGAGGTAATATGGGCCATATCGGTAAAGGAAGTTATGCAGTCTGCAATCTCACGATAAATTTGATAGTCTGTGAATCTTCGGCAGTGAATTACTTGATAGTAAAGTTGAACACGCAGTACAGCAGATAGGGAGCATGCCTGAATGGGTCAATATTCAGACAGGACCAATCGACCGATCGCAGCCTCTGGGTGCTAGCTGGGTCCGATTTGTCCTATCAAAATGAGGTATTCGTGGTCCCTTGTCACCACTAATTACTACTACAGTAAAAGGCGAAGACAGCCTAACTCGAATCCTCCCACTCCTCATAACTGTCAAGTGTGACCGCGCATTATGCATTAACCCACTCAGCAGAGTTGCTATCACTCACTATCACTCGCTATCACGTCTTACCATATACTATCACAGTTTTTCACCTACTTGTTGTTTATTCTGATAGATTGATGAATCACCACACCAAAGTTTCAGAGGCAGCGGAGGAGAAAACTTTAACATGGATCGATATCGAAGCTACCGTGCCGATGATTGGGAAAAGTTCGAAAGCCAGAAGGAAGACCGTGCTTCGAGGGGGTGAGTGAACCATTCGTCACACCAGTTTGATAATATAGGTTGATGCATAATTATTGCGGATTCTTCAGCAAATTTTACTTGAAGAAACGATAGAAANAAATTTAGCAAAGACATGCACAAATAATTGTTCCAAACATATTCACCATCTACGTCCAGCACTGCTTCCCATTTGCTAGGCGGTCGGATTTCATAGGCGAACATGTTCCGATTCCTGGAGGAGATCCACGCCATGACGTCGACCATCAAGTAATCCCTTTCATCGAAAGTTGGCCATTTTTTCAACGACTGACGTAATAATCCATAGGAGTTTCTGCTGATGAATAGGGCACCGAAGAAGCAAATTCCATTCTTTATCCGGCTTTGGCTGACTGTTCCATCGGCGGGAAGTTCGTTGTGATCACGTTATGAAAGTGGCGCCTTCCAACATTTCTCGAAGTAATAGAGCATAATGTGGCGTATATGAAGATGACGTTCTAGACATATTTCCGCTAAGGAAAGCGAGGAGATTATTTCTACAAAAATACCGAAATTAAAAGTTTAATTTTGTCGGGAGAAAAGGAGCCGCGAAAAAATTCGCAATAATTATGCATCAACATAATAATTATGATCCCTAAATTATAGTATCCGGCGTAGCACTTCCACGTGAAGTTCTTGCGATAATGGGTGGAAGTGGAGCAGGCAAAACGACTTTGATGAATATTTTGGCATTTCAGAGCTCTAAGGAAATCGAGGTGAGCCGATACTATGCTAATTCCAAAATTCAGTGTGGATATGCAACAATAGGCAGTAATATGTCAGCATAATTATATTGCGGCTAAATTACAACAACAAATATACTCAAATGTACTGTAGCGAGGGTTCTTCCTATATAGTTGGTCGGCGAAGACATTCCCCCGAAAGTTCCTCCCGCCGTTGAGTTTGACCCATATGTACATCCTTTGATTACCGCCAAGCGTTTAGCAGCTTCTTCTGCTAAACTCAGAGAAAAACGATAGAAACGACACACTTGAACTTTTAATTCATTCTTAGAGTAATGGAGCAGTACTTGTAAATGGCAAAGCAATGACAAAACTCGATATGCGACGGATGTCGGCATACGTCCAACAGATAGACCTATTCTGTGGAACATTGACCGTAAAAGAACAGTTGACGTACTCTGTGAGTAATTTATGATAAAGCTTTATAATAAAATATGCTAATTAATAAATATTATGCAAAAACAATTAAAAATTGAAACTTTTTATTACAAAGTAAGATTCTCTAATGTCCTTCTTCCTGACAAATCAAATTTTAGGCTTTGCTGCGAATGGGAAGCCGGTATACATATGCTCAGAAGATGGAAAAAGTCGAAGAAGTTATTAAAGATATGAACTTGACTGAATGTCAGGATACGCTCATTGGCATACCTAATCGAAGTAAAGGTATATCTGTTGGTGAAAAGAAGCGTCTAGCATTTGGTAGTGAGGTATGCCGTGTTTTTTGAACCTTATGACCCTCTCCTTCAGAGCTCTTATGTTAGAAAATTTTTTTTGCGGAGATTGGAACTCTCGCAGAGGTACTGTGTTTTTAAAACCAGTATAAATGACTTTATCGGTCTGGTTAGCCTCCTCGTCCTAAAAACGTCTGGAACTTTCCATTTCCTATTCCTTACGAGGTTCTCAATAAGGCAATTCTGGAAGAGTTTTCACTTCTATTAAAGAGAGAAGAGAGAAAGAGAGACATTCTAAGAAGGATTCCATAATGCAAACAACAACTTGAGACGATACTTACTCCCATATTTCCGGAAGCCCAAGTGGTATCTAGTTTAGCAGGCGGACTTTACTGAAGCCACAAACTAAGGCCTATGGAATACTATTCATTTCAGATATTAACTGACCCTCCCATATTGTTTTGTGACGAACCAACTACAGGCTTGGACGGATTCATGGCTCATCAGGTAAGTGCTTAAGTAAAAATCTCCCAGTATTGCTCCAATTTTATTCCACTTTTTGCCTTTACATATGATATCTAAACTAGCCGGAGGAACAGAATGGAGTACGTCATGGGAAGTCTTCTCTTTTGTTTTGCGCCCTCCAATAAGTACATATGCTTCAAAGTATGATTGGCGGGCGAAAAGGGAGGCACACGGATTGGTATGGTTGTGAGATTGTGAGAAGGGTATGGTGGTTATAGCCATGATATCAGGGTTGAGTGTGAAATAAAAGTGTCTCATCTTGCATTGAACTTCGCCCTCGCCTCAACTGAGAGGGGAGGGGNGGGGGGGGGGAGAGGAAGAAAGATCATCTCAGATCAATCCATCATGAAGAAAAATCAGCATAGTCAACTTCTCCTCCTTCCTGATCGGCCCAGTTTTCCCTAGCATGATTGAAGAGCACAGCATTCCCACACTTCTGCCCTCTTCTTCCATTTAAACGCTGTCTCAGAATGAAGGAATTGTTTTGGAGATCAAGCTAGGAATGCAAAGGGAAGGGTTAGGCCTGGGGAGAGAAGTTATGTAGGACAGTGATGAAGCACCTATGTAGTACGGGGAAAATTTCGATTTTCGTCTTCCCAAAATCCAAACCCATAGAGCTAATAGGTTCCCAGACTGCAATCTCAGCACAGACCCAACCTTTACACTAGAGTAACACACTCCTCGCCCGCCGTTTTCAGGTGGTGCAAGCCCTTCAATTGATGGCTGAAAAAGGTAAAACAGTGGTTACAGTTATTCATCAACCTGGCAGCACCATTTTCAACATGTTCAGCAGGTATTACACCAATACTTCTAGCCATTCCGTACTCTAACAAATTCTTAACCTATTTCTAATTAAGGGTATGCTTTATGGCTCTGGGAAAGGTCGCGTATTGTGGCAATGTCAAGGATTTGATCACATTTTTTAATGGGTTTGTAACTTTTCCCAGCTAACCAATTAGGAATACTTTTTTGTAGCTGCACCAGCTCCAGATTACGGTTTAGCGAGAGGTTTTCATGAAGAATCATTCAGACTCGGTCATCCATCGTTGCGAGTGCCAGAGTCGCATAATCCAGCCGATCACGTCATTGCCAAACTCGCTGTCAACAACGATACCATTGTTGATGATGTCAAGCGTGTTAATGTAGGAAACATTTTCGAGATAAGGCTCCTACAATTCTTTCGGTGGTAAAATCAGCTGAGCAATACCTTCCAGTACATAATCGATAAGTTCGATGAGAGTGATGCAGCCGAAGAATTGAAGGAACTGATACGAAAGACATCTATCAAGCCAGAAGACGAAGATGAAGACGAGAACGAAAAGCATGGGATGTAGGTTCTTACGAGATTTCTGTAGCAACAATTCCAATTTTTAAAGTGCTAAACCTCGACCGGGGGATCGGGAAGTGATTAGCCGGTATCCAAAGCCGTCCCAGTCAACTAATCCTCCAACATCTTTGATGATGACGTCACTGGCTGGTTTCAGATATGGTATAGGTACAGCGACACAAAAAGGTTAAATGCAGAGTTTTGCTAATCGTCTGCCTCACCTCCTTCTTCCTCCGCAATCAATCAACAGTAATTTTGGCCAGACTGGCTAGATAGGATTCGACTGGGTGGAAGTCCAGTTTCAGTCAGCTGAGCCCCGAGGTACGGAAGACGGTGGCTGATCCAGGGAGATTGATCTGGAACATCACCTGCTAGCACCTCCAGTTTGTTGGCGCTACCCATCTTTCCCATGGTAGAAAATATAAGGGAAGGGTGACAACAGTAGTACAGCTTACAGATGTCTTATATAAGTGAATCATCCTTGGTTTCAGGTATGCCGTTTCTATGTGGGTCCAAATGAACGTACTATTCCGTCGAGCATTTCTGACAACAATTCGAGATCCAGTGCTGCTACAAGTTCGGTTTCTTCAAGTGGTGGTAAGGATTGTATGAATTTCATTGTGCACTTTTTTTCAGGGAGAATAGCAAACTCCATTAGTGGACCATGCACTTCTTTTGCTCCTGTACAGTATCTTGAACCCTCCGTTTCATGCAATGGAGGGGTCTAACCGCAGGGTCACCTAATGGCAAGATTTAGCTTATGCTAGCTTCGACTTTGACTCTAGAACTACAATACTGTATACCTTTGTTGTTAGAAAATAAACATATTATTGCGAAAATATCACAAGTCAAACGAGAGTATCAGCATAAGGTCTCGAAAGCTATTTCGTAGGCAGAGCGAAAAAAATTATACGAAAACTTCTTGTAGATCACTTCTGTCGCTATTGGTATCGTTAATTTTCGTACTGAAGTCTACGGACCATCGATACAGAATCTTGAAGGAGTTATGTACAACTGTGTTCGTGATATGTCATTTCTATTCTTCTTCCCTTCAATAAACGTATGTTTTCATTAGCAAAAATAACGGTAGAACTCATGGAACCTTCCAGAAAGTTTCCTTTTTGAGGTTATAACGAGTGAGTTGCCGTTATTCATGAGAGAATGCAAGGCACGAATCTATTCAGCTGAAGCTTACTTCATTTCTAAGTCTTTAGCCGAGGTATGTAAGTCATGCTACAAAATTCATCCTAATCGAATAAAGCCTTCAGTAAGGTTTCAGGTGCCGCAGTACATTTTGTTGCCGTTTATTTACTCATCTATACTCTATTGGATGACAGGTTAGATTATTAAGATGTTTTATCAGCTCATAATCCTACTATATAACGCGCCTAAGTGTGCCTATTGCTTGGTCTGTGGTATGTGTGTGTTTGACCGGAAATCCATAACTCCTGTTTCCGTGGACCTAGAGAGTTCAAATTTAGTAGGAATATAGGAGGCAGGATGGAACACCTGTGGTGTGTAACAGGACCAGCCCGCGCCCATGAATGGCGGGGCTTGTGCAAAGTAAGTATTTGGGCGTAAATTCTTAACCCCGGTTCCCGAGGGTCTGGAGAATTCATATTTAGAGTATAGGAGGCAAGATAGGAACAGTGATGATAGGTAACAGGACTAGATTACGTCCACAAGGGGCGTGGCGTGAGCGGAAATATTTAGTCCGGTCCAGATCTACCCTCAGTGGGTCATTATTTTCAAGATAACCAGCAACAGATCGACACTTCTGATTACAGGCATGAGCATCGACACATGCTGAGTACCACTTGCATGCCCTGTCAGTCCTCTATCAGGTTTCGTGTTCCAAGTAATATCATTTGTTTCGAAGAAAGGAACGGGCGGTTTGCCGTTAACGCCTGCCTTGTGTTCTCAGTGAAGTGGCCTGTACTGCCGTG